GGGTGGTGAGGAGCAGTTTGCAGGGGCACGGGTGAGGTCTGCGGCAGGGGAGCGCTGCAGCACATTGCAAGTGATGGACCCACTGCCCCACACCAAGCCTAGCCAGTGCATCCAGGCACTGGGTCCCACTCAGCACTGTTCTCCAGCTTCTGTTATGCACCTCTCTTTCTTTTAGTTCAGTGTGGTAAAAATAGATGTTTAGATTCCTGTGTCTGCAGAGGTAGTTTTGTACTTTTATAAAAAATGGGTTTCTGCAATCATATTTTATGAAAAACTTGCTTTAATTCTTTGCTCCAAACCAGACTGCCGCTTATGAGCAATTTTTCAGCAGCAGATATTGCAGTGAAATAACAGTGCAAGTCATTTTTTGTTACAGACAGTGTAATCTGAGATGCAGCACAACCTATTTTTTAGGTCAAAGACTATTTTTTGTATCTCTTTTCTTCCAGCTTTCTCAATAATGTCAAAGAGGGCTTTGCCCAGGTCAAAGACTTTCTGTACTCATAGTGATATAACCTGTTAACTGTCTTTTATATCATCATGTTCTGCAGTGTATGTGTATTCTGAATAATATATTCAGATTCTGAATCAAATGGAAGGGGGGGAGGAAATTATAGTGAGGTTAATACAATAGCCTTCCACAAAGGTAAGACAAAGAAATGTTTGTTTCAGTTTCAAAATTGATTTTGTACAATCTGTAATTTCAGCTGATTATGTGCTCATTGCTTATTCACATATACTGGCATCAGGATGCAACTTTAATAGTCAGAAAGGAGTATATTTGTGAGAGCGAAAAATCAAATAAAATACTGCACAAGTGAAATTTTAATTAGGAAGAAAACCTTGCATTTTCATTGAAGTACTGTTATTTTACCGGTTAAACATTTAATTTTGCAGAGTCTTCGGTATCTGTGTTTACAGTCTACTTCCCATGCACTTAAAACAAATATGTTGAAGGATCAGGAGTTATGAATACAAAATTTTTCCTATTATATCTTCCTCATCCTCATCCTTTTTAAGCATGACTGCGTTTTAGAGGAGGATGTGTGCAGTGTGTATTGTATCAGACCCAGTGCCCAGACTGCCAATTTACTTGGGTGAATCGGCGATTGGGGCTCCAGAAGTGTTTGAGGGGTGCCATGTGGGAGGCTGTGCGTATGAAAGACCGGTGCTGTACTACAGTAGTTGCGAAAGCACCTTCTCTTTTAATATTGAAGCTGTGAAGCTATGATCTGAGCCAGCTGTACCTGCTCAGATCCTGCATCTATGCAGCCTCAAATCCTGTCGCTGAGGGTGGCTAGCACGAGATATGAAGGCAAGGCTAACAAATAGGGAAGGAGTCCAGTCAAGTGTCCTCCACCCTAGCCTTCCAGCAGTCTGTGGCTTGGCGATATCCTCAACGAGAGGTTATACCTTTGGTCCTTCATAGTTCTCAGTGGCTTCTACTTCCTTGAATTTATCTTATCCCCTGTGGCACCCACAGCCCCCTGCAGCAATAAATTAGGCAGTTTAACTGCAGATCTGTCTGTATTATATGACAGCAATGTTTAGAGACTTCGCAGTGCCTATGTCTTTGTTTACAATCCAATTTCAGACAAAAATCAACAAACAGGTGCAACATCGGAGGATGAGAGGGAGAATAAAACATTTAATGGCAGGGTTTGCTTGTCAGCTAAAACTTCCATGTCAGTATCAATCTGATTTCATTTTCCAAATAATCTTCCTAAGGCCTCTTTCTCAAACTGTGCATCATTTCTTTCAGTTTTTGTAGAAGTGCGTGATATATATGAGGTTGGCTTCTCTCTGCCCTCTGCCAATCTATATGAGCCCACAACTCCTCCTCCATCAGGAGAGGTGTCACAAGGCAGGACCACAGGTAAAGAGGGTCACGCTGCACTTGCAGCTGCGCAGTTGACAGCGCTTTGTAAACTGCACCAAATACTTTCTTCCAGTTCCCTTCATCTCCACTTTCTGCAGTTCGCTCATTTACTTATCAAAGTAGTCAAACGTCCAATGAACTTTCAACCCATTATCTGAAAATTATTTGCATAGCACCTATCAAATGGGATCAGCCCATACTAGGTTACCATTATGCAAGATTGTGTAGAATTACATTGTGAGAAGCTGATGGTTAAGTATCTCTTGATACCTTCCATCTCCTAGTGTGCAACACTGGAGTTTGTGTGTCACCCTCCCCTAAATGGATAACCCAGAAACAACAAAAGTCAGTTTTTCACTGGTGGTGGTGTCCAGCAATTTTACTGTTGTTGGTACCCTTTGTCTCTCAATGACAGCCTTCAAACCATGCAAGTAATCCATCTAGGCTGGTTGAGCACTGACACTGCACTGCGTATTTTCTCCATTGGCAATCAGTTCTGTGTGAAGTAATTCCGTCAGTCAATTAAACCATCATTTGTTCTAACAAAATACTAAACATAAGTGTTTGTTTCTCATTTCCCTTATGTGAAGCAAGGTCTTCTTTTTAGTGGGTGGTGGTTTGGGGACAAATTTGGGTTTTTTGCAGTGTTGGAATTTATTTCTGTTAGTTAAGGCTCTTCTGAGCTCAGTAAAATGGTCTTCCCACTTACAACTAACCTGAATGTTTGTCTTAATTTGCTTTTTGTGTTGCAGCTGGATATTTAGCAGAACATCAAACTGCTGAGCCATTAGACTCCAAAATTGTTCTAGACACCCCTTTGTGCAGTCTTAAGGCGCCCTATATCTAAAACTGTGTGTTACCCTTGTTTGTGTTATCAGAGAGCACCTGTGGGACGATTTCTTCTCCAATATATAATTATTCTCTGTTCATCACTGAACTGCTAGTTGGCACTACTGATTGTAGAACCTGTAATGCAAATATCTGCAGACACATTTGCAACCACAGAGTAGCAATAACTTGGTTTTGTTTCAGAATTCTTACAGGCTCCTGCCCTCTTCGGTGTGTGGTGGCAAAGCAACACAGAGCCACTTCACTGCCTGCACAGAACACTCATTGGACACTGATGTTATAGGGAATAGTTTAGCGATAGTTTGTGGCAGTTCACGATTTCCAGGAACTGTGTATAGCACCAGAAATTCTATCTAGGGCATGTGAGTGTCTGTGTGCTGCAGTCTCAGGGTCTGCAATAAGGCAAATTCACCATTCCTGTCCCGCCTGCCACTGTCGGCAGGTACCGCTCGAGCAGCCTGCGTCCTGCAGCCAGCGCTGCCTCACCCATTTCATACTCTAATCCAAAGCCTATTGGCATCAATGGGACATTATCCAGGGAGCTATGCTGGCCCTGCAGCCTCTCTTTAGACGTGCTATTTTCCTGTGGCACAAAGTATCAGACTTCCACGTAAGTCTGCCTAATTTCTAGCATAGGCAGAGCAACCAGTTGAAAGTGGAACTGATATCAAAGTATTGATATTTATTACAACTGTTGAATATTGTTTTCTCCATGGTAATACATTTTTCAATTAATTTCTCCTACACCTCCTTTTTTAAACAATCTTGCCAATTTCTCCCTTTCACGCCCTATTAAGTCTTCTATTTCTGCATATTGAACAAGGAAAGTAAAAACATGCAGAAGGAAGAAATAATAAAGGAAGAAATAGATAAAAATAAAAAAGAAATGAGAGTTCTTAAAGTCTCATTCCTTTGTTAGCACAAAGCTATACAGTATTTGAACTGGTTCACTTTATTTTAGCTTTTCAAAATGAGATTTTTATCTAACAAAAAATTTTCACCTACCAAAAATGTATAAATCTTGTTGAAATATTTCACCTTTTCTACCAGAAACTTGTGCTTTCCTTTTCTCTAAAAAATTCTGTTATGAATTATTGAAGCAGTTGCTGAAGGCTTTTTTAGCTGAAATTTATCATCAGAACTTCTGAAGCTCTAACTTAGTAACGCTTTATAATGTCTTTAAAATAATTTTATCCAAAATCAAACACGTGGGAAGTGAGCAACATTCCAGCACGTTATTGTTGAACAATTTTCAAGGTTTCTCATTGAACTCCACTAGACACCGACTTTTCTAGTCCTGTCCAAAAGGCTGCACTAAATTAAAGAGCCCTTTTTGCTGCCAAGAAAAGCTGTCTGAAAATCATTGATGAGCCTTTTCTATTTTCTTCAAGAGGGCAACTGTTTAATTTGACTGTTAATTATTTAAATGCCTAATCAGTAAATTTGTTATAATCCTAATTTGTATTACAATTTTCAGCCCCAGGCTGTAGATCATATGCAAGCTTTTTAATACATCTTCACTTTTGCTAGGATGTAGTACATCACTTTCTTGCCTCGTGTGTATGCATCAGGCATTAAATAGTCTCCACAGGTGAGCAGAGAGGCAGAAGGCAGTTTCCTGGAGGCATTTGTGTTTTTCCACCCTGTGCCTGTTTCCACGGGGCTCTGCCCAGTCTGGGGGTGCCATTCCCCGTTCATCTCCATGTACGAATCTCTGACGCAAAGAAATCCCACAGCCGTTCCTGGGACATGCGTTTGGAAACAGGGCAACTGTAAACATGTCCTCATCTGGAGGTTTATTTGTCTGCCTATAATTGCTGGTAGCAGCTCCGCTTCTCCAGGGAAGGAGAGAGAACTGTCTAATCCCTGACTGAAGTTGTAAAATGTTCATTTTCCTGCTTGGACCGACTGAACTGCTGTAAGCGATATCAGCAAAAATTAATTATATAGTTGTATCTCTTTCTTTTATAATTTAATGTCCTAATCATAGTTAAAAATTAATTAAAGTCATATGCCTTTTCTAACCCCTTGAGAACCTGGAAATACTTTGTGGTAGTAACCCTTCATTTGAGATCAAATCACAGGTGAAATAAGCTATAGAACACAGAGAGAGAGGTAAAAATCTATTGCGTGGACAGGTTTTGCTGATTAAGCAAGTCTGACGAGGAGACTGGCTAGTTTGCATGGTGGTCAGTGATGTGTTCCCGCTAGACTCATTTGTCCTTTCATCTTTGAATATTTAACCGATGCGAATATATTTTCTGTTTCTTAGGAGAGCACTCATCTCAGGGGAAGAATAAAACTCGGCAACTCTTCACACCTCAGCAATAAATATGTAAGTTTATTGCTTTTGTCTTGCGTCTTGTAACATTAATGTCTGTTAGTCTCCGTAATACTTGTTAGTCTCAGTATTGTGCCATGTAACTAAGCAAAAGGGTTGAAAATGCAGAACAGAAATAGCAATGACTTCGGTTGGCAGAAACCGCAGGAAGAAGTGGCCTAAACAGAGCTCAGCTGGAGCACACCGTCACAAACAGAGTCCCAGGCAAACCGAGGGACTGAAGAAGCTGCCGCCTCGCAGAGGTAGACCTTTATAGACACAGCATTCGGCTTTAACAGTTCAGCATTTCCTGGTTGCAATTCCCTAGGTGAATTTTATTTTTGTTTGTGTGAGAAGTAAGAGGTTTTTAAAGGCAGTTACCTACAAAAAAAGGAACTTCATACCCAGAAGCGTTCAGCTCCTTTGGTTTCATGAAAAATCTGTGTCCGTTCTACATCACGCAAAAGCAAGAACTTTCGTTGAGGTGGTTTATTATAGCTTGAAGTCCTTAGTGGCTAACCTGCAAAACTGACAGGTGTGGGACAGTATTCTTACGTGTGCAAGCGCGGAGACCATCGGAGCACCTCTGAAACCCACAGTTTGTGATGTGGGCGCTGCGTTTTCCTTCATGTATGAAGCTTTCTCAGGCTCCACAATCTCCACTTCCCACGGAGCTGCTTCTCTCATTTGTGGGGAAATGGGGTCCTTTGCTGAGTGTGGGAGAAGGAAGCGGCTGCGGGAAAGTGGTAGGCTGTGGGAAGGGCCCTGTGTGGCCAGGGTAGTGCAGGGAGGCAGAGGAGGAGGATGGCCTGAGGAACTAGATGTCACAGCGTATGTGAGATGAACCGGACAGAGGCAGCTGTGCTGGGCCCAGGCAAAGCCCAGCCTTCCACCATCACTGTAGGGTGAAGACCCTCTAGAACAGGTCCCATCACTCTCCACTGAGAGAGATCTGGTTGACCAGAAATGTGGAGAGACCCTTTTACGAAACATCTTTGATGGTTTTGGCCTATTCTCATTTTCCTCAAGTTGTGCAAACTGAGCTTTCCTAACGCAAACAGTAAGGACAAATTAACCTTCTTTGTCCCTTGAATCAGAGCAGCAGAGAGCAAAGTTGCCTATGTTACTGAAAACCCAGGAGTGGTTCTGTTTGTGCAGATGCAGGACAGCATCCTGGACAGCGGATTTACTCCTTATTTTCTATCCCATATTGGATTTACTCTGTGTTGTCCATTTCAGCTTACTCTTACGTTCCTGAACAACCTTACCTGGAACAGTAATCTTGAGCTACCGTTGTCATTTCAGATGTGAAGCAGCCTGTTTTATCACAATATGCAGGAACATTCCACTGAAGTTGCGGTTCCACAGGGAATGTGGAGCAGCTGAAGCTTTTTACCAGGCAGGACACTTGTGCTAATGACCAACTCTTGACTTCTGAATCTCAAGTGTCTCCTGTGCCTTCTGGAATGACACGTAATTTTTTGATGGCTTAATAACTGGTGTATCATGTGTATTTATTATTTTCACATATAGTAAAAGCAGGAAAACTGTCTATAAGGTTGAAAAGAACGTAAAAATCTGGTGATGTTTGCATAGTAGTTACTAAAATAATTTTCTGCACGTACAGGAGGGAATGTGTTAGCATACTTTGTTGAATTTATGGTAGATAGGGTTGTTTTAATTGTATGTAGCAAAATACAAGCAGGGCCTGACCCTTGAAACAGTACTGGGCAAATTGCCACTATGAAAACCAATTCAGTGATTTCCATGAGACTCCTCACTGTAGCACACTCTTCACTTGTCATAAATGTTTACAGGATGGGATGCCTGGGTGAAATGCTGAATTGTGTGTGCTTTTTTTATGTGAAGGGGCGCAAGATACCTTGCACTGAGGCTCTTTGAAATTCTGCGAATTACTGAATATGATCCTTGTAATGTAACAGGCAACATAGTCCTTTTTCACCTGTTCCTTGGCTAATTGCATTACGTGTGCTAGAACTATGTCTCCTATATAGCCTGGGGTACACAGTGGGGACCAGCAAGATAAGCAGTTTTACAGATGAACCTTCTTCCCTCTGTTCTGAGTAATTCATGGGATTCCTGTGGGTTATTGAATAACTCTGGAAGTTTGAAGAGTGTTTCAAGTGCTAATTACAGACTCTCTTAATTTGTACAGAGCTGGCAATTCAAAAATATCAAGTAGTGCTTCTACCTGCATGTATCCTACTTTTCTAGACCTGTAAATGTTTGAAAATTACATTACTGTGAGCATCTGCTCGGTCTCAATCCAGTGACTCTGGTAGCCTGCCAAGAACCTCCATTGGTGAATGGAAAGAAAACAACTGGTGGCATAAGCGCAGGGCCAACAGCCAGGACAATGATCTAAGTTTAGACACTTACTGATGCAATTCTTTTGAGGAACTCCTCTCTCCAATTTCCCTCTCTGAAATAAGAAAATTTACCTAGCAGTCTGGCAAGAAACTGAGCAGAATTGTAAGTTCATGTTTATACCCAAAGCTGAAAAATGTGCTTGACTATTGCTCTGATTTCCACTTTGATGGGTCTAGTAATCCTCTGTGTTAGTGGCACCAAGAGAAACTTTTGATGAAGCTCTGTAAAAGATGGGGAACCAACAAGTATCCTCCATGCTACAGCTGAACTTATGTGGTTCATTCAGATATTCCTGGATCACTTGGGTTGCTCAGGAGCAGAGGAGTCTTGGATGCCTACTTTGGAAAGGTCAGGCCATCTAAAATATGCTAGTTGGCACCTGCAACTCTTCAGATTCCTGATTGCTGAAGTTTCCTATGAAAAAAAGCAATCAGTGTGGATTTTCATGTTGATTTAAAAAGTATTTTGTAGCATGTTGTATTGTACTGAAAGGACGGTAGAAAAACACAGAGAAAGATTGTGAAATATATATATATGTTTGCGCAAAATCTGTTCAGAAACTACCATGGTGTGTCAAGAAAAGAAAATTTAACTGCCTATTAAAAGTTATTCTCTTTATTAAGCAGCTCTTATTTTCCTCTTTGCGGAAATGCAATTCCTTACCCATACCTAATACAACTATTGTTCATTACTCTGCATTCCAGTAGCACAGAGCGAGCTGAACTCTTTACGGTGAGCCTAGAGAACTGACATTAGATATTCTGGGCATGGTGGTGGCAGGGGGAGCATGAGACCTTGCAGAAGGCATGCTGGGGGTGGCAAGTGGAGTATAGAAAACTCCTCATACAAGAGCTGATGGGGAGAGAACAGGGCTTGCTGCAAATCTTGGTCCTGGAAAAGTGAAAAACACCAAAACAGGGGAAGATGTTTGGGCTTTTCATGATAAGGGGAATGGCAGACAACCAAGCTCTCTTGGGAAGGCTGGGAAACGTGCCTCAAAATGACTGGCTTGCATGAGTGTGTGTGAAGCAAAAGTGGTGGGTAGAGTGGAGAGCAGAAATGAGGAACCTGTGATCCTCAACCCCTGAGGCAACAGAGCTTGTGGTAAAGGGAAATGTATGAACTTCCATCCTTGTGGAGGATCAGGAGGGAACTGATGGTTATATGAAGAAGAGAAGGCAGATCTTCTTGAAGGATACCTGTAAAGCACAGAAAGGATTTGGAAGAATATTTGGGGCTCTTTCTTCTACAAAGGTGGAGATGCTGGAATTGGCTTTAATGGGAGGTGATGAATTGACTGCAGAGAGAACTCAGTTATTAAAGAAGTTACATGCAATGGCTCAGGTAGATGAAAAAGAAACGAAAAATCAATTCTAGTTGTCTGGCTCAACAGCTCTGGTGTAACACATGTCTAAAAGATCCACTCGAATATTTAAGTCACTAGTGTGACCCACGAAAGTAAAGGCAGGTCCTCCACATGCAAGGTTTATCTATTTGAGGATACCTAGGAAAGTGGATCTACCTTTGTAAAACACTTTCCACTAAAGCTTGATCAAATCTTCTGCAGACAGTCCCACCTAAATCAAGTCTTCTTCAGCTTCTGTGTCATAATTTGGTGCAGTAGTGAATGACATCCACTTCAGTGTGCAATGAGCGTGCCCACGCAAATGTGGTTGAACTGGATCCACTTTCAAATTAGTTCAGCTCTAGTTAAACAAGTTTTTAGGTCAAGCATACGATTCTGATCTACATGCTACAATTCAAGACTGAGGAACATAACTGGCTCACAAAGACTTTGTTTGGGGTATAGTTAGTCCCTGTCAGTAAACCCTGTGGGGTTCAGGCTTGCTAGGAGAAAGGCATTTTCAGCGCTGTTCATCTCGGGCTCAGCTCGGGAAGGTGAGTCATTGTCTTCAGGGATAGGAAAGTTTCCCTAAGCCCTTCCTAAAGTCCTAACCCTGGTCAGTTAAAAGACTCGCAATATTTTGGGAGTGACCAACTGCAGGACACTGGGACTTTGGATCTAGTCCCAAACAAGACAGGTGGGCATTAAAGAAAACAAACAAACAAATAGAAAGGTGTGGTACAGTGGACTGTTTGCTTTCTACTCTAAGATGCTGTATCAAGCAACTTATTTGACTCACATAACAGAAAAAATACCAGAAAGAAAAAGACTTTGATCATTATTTAAAGGAAAAAGGTTCAGAAATGAGAAAACAGCATAAAGAAAAGAAAATAATTCTTTATAAAAGTAGGGGCTGAAGCCTTCTAAATACTTAAATAGTTATTTTTGCATGTTTGGCCGAGGGCCTCAGGTGAACTGCTCATGAACAGGTCAGGCTTCTGTTCATTTTTCTGCTTATTGTATCACAGGAATCACTCTGGCCCTCAACGCCCCAGGGTCTGCGGGCAAGGCTATTTACAGGCTACTTATGGCACTGCTCAGAAAGGTGCTTAAATCAAAAAACCTTCCTCGGGGGCCCTCTGTTTGGTGTGGGGAAGCCCCACCAGGCTGCTGCAAGGGGAAGCAGCGGCACCGTCCAGATATGTCGCCCTCCAAAACCCCGAAAGGCTTTGGTGGTTTCGGAGCGACTACACTCCGCTGAAGAGGGCTGAAGTC